CACACAAACATTGACACACACTGACACATGTGCACACATGTTGACACACTCATGCATGAACACACACACAGACTCACACTCGCTCAGTGTAGGTGGAGAGGGGATTTGTGTTGGTTATGATCAATATACATCTGTTTTAAAATCAGTGGCAGTAACTTCTGTTTCATTGAGAACTCTGTATGATTTTCAAGGGCCAATGACACGTTGGACGCAGAAGTGGAGTACATCCTCTGAGTCATCAAACAGTCCACCCCGAGCACTGTTTCAGCCATTTCCCAGCTGTAGGTCACATCTAGTAAACGGTGAGAGAATGCCGTTCAAACTGGGCTTGCTCAGCACCGGACTCAGCCTGGTCTCTAGGTATTTCCCAACCCCAGTGTCTCCACATCCCGTTTAACCTTGATCTATTCAGACAGCCCATTCCCATCTCCCCAAAACCACCCCACCCCCCACCTCCAACACTTGTGGACATCCACCACATAACTGTCTGCCTCTAAATTGCCTTCTTGACCCTGAAACTTGGCATTAGAGTCTGATGGTGCTGACCATGTTCCTGTACACTCACCCCCATGAAGGCCATGGTCTCTGACAATAATCCCCTCTCCCCCACTCCCAAAGACTTCCTGTTCTGTACCACATATCTCCCTTATTCCTCAACATATCTCCCTTATTCTTCAACATTGTCCCCATCACCATCCTTGCTCCCACCTCAATACATCACCCCTGGCTTTGAATGCCCCCTTCCTCCTCTCCACTGCTCAGCATATGGACCTCCCAGGACTGAGTCTCGAGACCCCTGATTGACTTTGACAGACTGCAGCGGGGAAGGAGAGACCAGGCCATGATCACTGCTCCCTGCCTGACAGAACGCTGTTCCCCTGACTGCTTGTGAGGCTCCTATTGGATTGACTGTATTCCACTCCCTGGACTGTACCCCCATGACCATGATCACCGCAAGTGGATAACTGACCACGGCCAAGCGTCTGAACTGTGTGTAGGTCTGCCCTTGGCCGATGACAATGAGACCTCCCTAAATGACCGCAGCCCCTTCCTGCATTAACCTGCTGAAGGACTAGCCCCCACATGGCTGTTTAGTTGAATAAATGTGCAGTGTGCTTAGCACACAGGCAGCTGGCACGTGCTGTATTTGTGAGATTGATATCTCAATGTGCCATACAGCAAGTTGTCCACTCCCTAGACTGATCTGCATTGGCCATTACAACAAACAGCTTGGCTCTGAGTCTGCACCACATGGTCAATTGCTAATGTGCTAACAGACATAGTCTATCAAGGAGAAGTAAGGCTGGTATTCTGTGAGAAAGCAGGGAGGTACCAAGTGAGTGAACGCTAACAGAGTAAGTGAGCTGGTCTATGTGTGTACTGGGGGTGTGAGCCTGTGCACAGTGTCCTCGCAACAGCATTGCAATGTCAGTTACCAGTGCCCCCAAGGTGCAAGTGCGTCAGAGAGGTCCTATGAGGGTCCTGCAAAGCTGGCAGATGTTGAAAGACAGCGTCCATGCCCACGGGGTGCCAGCAGCTGGTGGCTATAGAGTGTGCCCTGAGATGTTGTTACTGGGTGCCCAAGGTGGAGATTCGCAGGAGAATGTGGCCAGTTGGGATCACCTGGTAGCCACAATCACTTTCCTGTCGAGAATTGTCAATGTGCAGTTACCTCACAGTAGGATCGGAAGCTACATGCTGATGAAGCGAGGTGTGTAGTTAATGAGATCAGTAGCAAGCAATGATCCCCATTAATAGGAATCTCTCATTGTCTAGCAAGAATCTGGGCTTGACTCTGGGACTTAATTGGAAAGTGCAGCAACTTTCTCCTGACATTGAGAATGGCCTCACTGAACTTCTCCATGACCCATGTCATTCAGACTCCTCTAAGATTCTATACACGGCCACTGTCTCTTGCCTGCAGTGCCCTGTTCCAACAGTTTAGAATGCATGTACTGTGTGCTGTAACTTCACCTGGTGTACACCTCATCTTCAGGTTTTGCTGGGAAACTCTGCTGCCCACCTTATTGGTCCAGGGTTGGTCGCCAGGCTTTATGGTTATGGTCGTGAGGCAAAAGGCCGGTTCATGAGATTACAGGATGTGGTTGAATTCAGATGTTGCTGCTGATGGACCTCAGATGTTTTTGGGTATTGGATACATTATAAATCTATCCCGTTGAGCACAGGGCTGAGGCCACATAAAACAGTGTCATCAGTGCCGAGCCTGGACTTAGATTCTTTAGTTGGTGTTCAACTCAGGTATTGATACCACATTGTCTCCCACTGAATGAAGGTTTAACTGGCATTTCTGCACCAGATGCCACCTTGGGCAGAGTAAACACTGATCACATTTCCAGAATCTGCTCTTTGTCCCATTGTGTGAAAACCATTAATGCTCATGCATGAACCGTACACTCTGTGATGCACACACGCAGGCAAAAAGAGAGCTGTGTCTGGGAAAGGGACTGTGATCGTTGTTGGAAAGAGGCCGAGCTGGAGGGAATGAGTGGATTGACTGAATGCACTGAGAGATGTTCGTAGACATGTATGTAAAATCACAGAAGGCGGTCGAGACAGAGAGAGGCTGTTGTCTTGTGGACAGACGGTAACTGGAGGCCACCAATATAGGACTGCAATCAAGGAATCTGATCACGATTTGCAGCACGTCACCACCTTCTCAAGTGCCACCTCAGGAGTGACAGTAAATGTTGACCCAGCTTGTCAAACCCTATGAATGAATGAAGGAACTCCAGGAGGAACTCCCTCACCTAGACAGCTGTGGGAAATGGGGCTCATTACAGGGCAAGAAGGAGGAGATATAGGAAAACTGACCATGTACGAGTGGATATTGAGGGAAGATATACAGCCAAATAATCTTTTGTTTATGAGGAGGTGTGCAGTTATCTGGGAATATGAACTTGCATTCCTATGGCAGCTGTTTTGACCTCATTATGTTATCATTTCATTTAGAGTCTGTGAGGAAACAAAATGGGAAATGTTGGAGGATGTAGTGGTTATGTCACTGGGTACACACACCAGTTCAAATCCTGCCAGGAACTAAATTTGATTCACAACTCTGGAATACAACAATAGTGGCAGTGATAGTGACCAGGAAAATCATCAATTCTTCTAAAAGCCCCTCGACTACATGAAATTAGCGTTGGGGATGACCTTAATCGTAACCCTGACCCTGACCCTAAAACTAACCCTAGCCCTATTCCTATCGCAGCCCTTACCTGGTCTGGATACATTTGACTCCAGACCCACAGCAAAATGGTTTATTAACTGAAAATGACTGACCAAACCATTTCAAGAGTAATTAGCGATCTGCAGCAAAAGCTGGCCTTGCCAATGATGCCCACATCCCATGTTAGAATAAGGAAAAACGTTGAGCCCACATAGATTAGGGAAAGCAAACACAACAACACCTTTGAAAATTATGAAATGTCTTTCTTCTGCACAAGCCTTCACTTGCATGAATTCAGGAAGAAGCAAGCAGGAGGATTAAATAGGCATCATTTCCACCACTGCCCAGTGGTGATTAACTGAGGAGGGCATTGCAAAGCAGGCCCTATAGTGTTCAGTGTTTGTTTTCTGCACCCCTCAGCTGGAATATTTGAATTATATCAATTGCATCAGTGTGGCACTTTCTTGAAATGAAGGTCATACCCCATATTCCCTCAATACCTCACATGCCCATTCTTCATGGTCCCTCCTATCCCCATTATCCCCTTACTTTACCCCACAGCCTCTCCATTTCCCCATGTCCCTTCATAATCTGCATTCCCACTCACACACTATGAATAGGACTCATGGACTTTATTATAATATTGCAAAACTTTTCAGCCATTCCAAACCATCTTGAAAAATGAATTGCTTTAGGAGATCATAAAACAGTCAGCCAAACACTCAGAGATTCAAACTTAACTTGAAGAAAATTAACTTCTCCTGTGTTCATAAAATTGTCAAAACAAAACAAAAGCCTTTCAATGCCTCTTCAAAATTCTAATACTTTTTCATAAAAATGTACGTCAAGACACATCTCATAGACCCTTTGTTGGCTATATCACACTGAGTTAAAGCCATCGTGACATTTGGAGTTCAGTAGACTTCACCTGATGAAGGAGCAGCGCTATGAAAGCTTGTGATTTCAAATAAACCTGTTGGACTATAACTTGGTGTTGTGTGACTTCTGACCTTGTCCACCCCAGTCCGACACCGCCATCTCCACGTCATGTGTCAGACTTGCCTCTGGAGCTGAAGACTTTAAGACCTTTGTGATCTGTTTTACTGATTTAAACAGCTAAACAGATGCCTGAACTGCCAATCTAAGGATGGATCAAACAACAGGGGGAAAGTGACACAGTAAATGTTCATCTCAATACTGTTGAATGCAGAAGAGCACCTTCTCCACTGGACAGAACACTCTAATTGTCTGAACACTTCCACAACGCAGTCACTTAGCTTCTTAAAGCAAAGCCCACTCGTTAGTTTTTGAAAAAGTCATATTTAAGTTATCACAGAGCATTATGTGGAGTTGTCAATATTTCTACTGAAAAGGTCCTCAGCTCCAGATGATAGCTCCCCCATAACTCCTCTATGAAACCCTGAAACATGTCAGCTACCATGAGAAATCTGACTGTATGGAAAATGATGAGGAGGTTGAAAATGCCCAGCATCCAAGAAATGGGCAAGGGTGGGATTGCTTTGTGTGCTTGCACTATCCACACTCATGTCCTGGGGCCATAACTATCTCCCAGGACGGGAACGGAGTTGGGAATCCCAGATCGGGATCCAGCCAACCATTTATAAATCTGGCCTGCTCCTGTTACCAGGCAAATGGAGGCACCAAAGTCTCTGAGCTCTTTATGTTTTTTTGTGGCACACCAATTTAACTTGTTACTGTCTCAGAACGTTCTTGGACAATGGCTACCACAAATAGCAATGTTTTGTATCGTGTTGCCATTTGTGTGTGTTTTTTCTTCAATCCCCTGTTTTAGAATCGCAAATCCGCCTTGTGAATGGACGGCACCGATGTGAGGGGCGTCTGGAGATCTACCTAATGGCACAATGGGGCACCGTTTGTGATGACGCCTGGGACTTGCGGGCAGCGAAGGTGGTCTGCAGGCAGCTGGGCTGTGGCAGGGCCCTGGCTGCTAAGGCATGGGCGTACTTCGGGCAGGGCGTGGGCATCATCCACCTCGACAACGTGAAATGCAAAGGAAACGAGAGCTTGCTGAGCCAGTGCTCCCATATTGACTGGGACGTCCACAACTGTGACCATACGGAAGATGCAAGTGTGATGTGCACATTATGAACAATCTCAATGAAGGTGCCTTCCATTGGCAATCTGGGTGAGGGGAGGGGGCGGCTTGGGAAGAGAGACACATTGAATATATGTAAATCTATAAATGTGTAAATAGCTCAAAACTACCAACCTGAAATCCCCATATAATGTGCACTTTATACATATTAAATATTAACTCCCATTACAGGTATAACTTGTATAACCTTCCAAAACATTGTACCAGCAAAGCTGTGCTCTCTGGTGAAAGATGTATTTCTTTGGCCCTGTTTCTTAGCAGCACTCATATAGACCAGTGTTGGATTCCTGAGGCAGACAGCACCACAAGTTGCTTAGGATCTTAGGATTAATTCACAAAGGAATCTTTCCTCTACTGGAGAGAAACTAATTGGTTATAAGGGTGACCACTCCACAAACACAGGGTCAAGTAGGCAGGCAGAGGTTCCATGTGCGATCACAGCCAGTACAGGGATTGAACCCAGAATGTTGGTTTTATTCTGTTCCACAATAGCTTGCTGAGCTAACTGAATCCCTGCAACCTACGGATTATTCATCAATCATAGAATCCCTAAAGTGTGGAAGGAGGCCATTCAGCCCACACCAATCCTCTGAAGGACATCCCACCCTATCCCTGTAATCCTGCATTTCCCATGGCTAACCCACACGTCTCTGGACACTATGGACCAATCCACCCAACCTGCATTCCTTTGGTCTGTGGGAGGAAACCAGAGTACCCAGAAGAAACCCACACAAACACAAGGAGAATGTTCAAACTCCACATAGGTAGTCACCCAAGAGTGGAATCGAACCTCGGTCCCTGGCATTGTGAGATAGCAGTGCTAACCACTGAGCCACCATGCTGCCCAATGGAAAGCAACACTGCACAGTTCTCACAGCTACCAGCTAGCAGACATTACTTGGGGAATTGAGTAAAGCCTGCCTTTTACCACTTGCTGTGGTGCTGTATACACAGATATCTTCCTCCTGTTTTTAAACTCAGAGTGTATTTTAGAGGACGCCCATTCTATTTCAGGATAGTAGATATAAATGCCTTATCTTTGTCACATCCATTTCATTTCTGTCTCATTAACGTCATCTGTAAATAGCAAACTTTAGGAGGGACAGATTATAGAGTCATAGAGTTATATAGCATGGAAACAGACCCTTCGGTCCATGCCGACCAAGTTTCCCAAACTAAACTAGACCCACTTGCCCTGCGTTTGGCACATATCTCTCTAACCCTTTCAATTTCATGTACCTGTCCAAATGTCTTTTAAAGGTTGTAACTGTACCTGCACCTGCCACTTCCTCCAGCAGTTCATTCTGCATATGAACCACGCTCTGTGTGAAAAAGTTCCCCCTCAAGTCCCTATTAAATCTTTCCCCTCCAACCCTAAAAATGGTCTTTTAGTTTTGAATGCCCCCACTCTAGGGAAAAGACCTTTGCTATTTACCTTATCTTTAGGGGGATAATGAGAGAAATCTGGAGCTCTCTCTCCCCCATAGACTGTTGAGGTTGGGTCAATTGAAACTTATCAAACTGAGATCAATTGGTTTTAGTTATTAATGGTTATGGAAATAAGGCAGGTGAATAAATTCAGATATAGATCATCCATGATCTAATGAATAATGACTCAGGGTCCACAGCCTGAAAGACCTCTCCTGTGTTCCTGCTCATGTTGAAACAAGTTTCCAGTGACCTGCCAACCTTCACCACTATCATTTGAAGTATTGACATGAAGTGTATTGTGACAGCTGTGACCAGAGCAAGAGCAAATCCACACTTTAACTGGACCTTCAGAGTACATGTTGGTGAGAACAATATGTGAAGGGGGAGTTCTGGCTATAAACTGTTCCTACTTTGTACAAGTCATTTGTCATCAGAACTTTTCAATGAGATTAATGCCCCATGGTTAATCTCACCTTTCTGCTTAAGTATGGATCTGAAAGTACCACCAATGGTTTAATTACCAGAGAGAACCTTAGTCATTGTGAGGAAGGGCCAGAGTGTACTGAGTGAGCTGATCTCTGCCCCTAGCCACTCTCCCTTGGTCTGCAGCTAAGGAAGAATAGGCGCATTGTACTCCTGATTACTGGCTGCTCGAGGATGTGCACATAGGGAGGCAATGTTAGCTTGAGTATCTGCTGATATTCACAGTGCTGGCTCACACAGAGAGGATCAGGACACCATTTACACTTTGACACTGGAGGTGAGGGGTGGGCGTGTCCAGTCACACAGCAAAGCTGGACGTCGTGGTTTGCCCATATGCCTGATCAGGGTTGTTGTGTGTTTATTTGGAGTGGGGGGAGGTTCTCTGTCCCAGGGGAGATGTTTCGTACGGGTCTGATAGTGGGAGAGTTTGGTAAAACCTGGAGAAAGAATGACCTTGTCCCAAGACTGTCTTAACCTTATTGCAGTTGCTAGGTTTCCCTAGGCCTGGTCAGCTGTAGCTAAACCTGCAAAGTTTCTATCCTAATGAACATAATTTAAATGCCAGCATGCTTCCTGGGAGTGGGCAAGCTGTTCTGCCTAAGCAACATCGCAAAATTGCCAGGTTTTTGCCCATTTAATGGCTGCCACCTACCACCCTGCAAGACTGAACTCCTCCCATACAGCTGAGTGAGTTAACTCACCAAAGATCCTCAGACAGCACCTTCCAAACCCACGACCACTTCCATCTAGAAGGGCAAGGGCAGCAGATACATGGGAATGCCACTACTTCCAAGTTCCCCTCCAAGCCACTCTCCATCCTGACTTGAAAATATATCGCCATTCCTTCACTCTCACTGGGTCAAAATCCTGGAATTCCCTTCCTAAGAACATTGTGGGTCAACCCACAGCAGAGGAATTACAACAGTTCAAGGAGGCAGCTCACCACCACCTTCTCAAAGTCAACTAGGGATGGGCAAGAAATGCTGGCCCATATCCTGAAAAGAAAAGGTGGCCCAGAATGAGTCAGTGCCTATTCCAGAATCACAAATGCTCCAGAAAGTATTTACTTTTTCTGGCTCCCCATCTCCATTTTGTCAGCTGCTTTCAGAGTCCTTGGTAACTGGACTTACAGTGATTAGCTTCCAGATTGAGCCATGGGAGCCAGATTTAATGGTCATAATGAAGAGTTATTCCTCTCCAAAAATGTCATTATAAAAACTGCTGCGGACATGCACAGCACAGAGTTAGACACCCGTTCTCCCGACTTCCAATTTTTAACTAGACATCCACCCACCCTGCTAACCCCAATATGCCCACTCTCAGTGCTCTCCTGCCTATCACAGGGAGATGAATCGGTTTGATGTGTATGAAGTGGCAGTGCAGCGGTGGGGGATTCTCTCTGTCTCTGCCTCTGCTCTGCGTCAGCTGAGGGTGTGTGGAGAACAATATCAGAGGCAACAGAGTAACAGAACCCCTCTGAGGGCCAATAATTAATGAACAACAGAATGAAGACAGCTGCAGTGTCAGTGACTGAACATTATCCAAAGTCCTTCCATTGGATCATATGTGGTGGCTACTGTTTCACCAGGAATAAGCAATATTAGCATTATTAATAAGCAATTATTGTTGTTAATTAATATTAATTGTATTAGCAATATCAATAAATATTAAGGTTCAATAATATTAATACGTATTGTCACCTATAGATGTCTACTCTGACCTGATGCCAAGGCCACTACCCACAACTAGTGGTTTAATCTTTTCCACTCACTGTACATAATGGGCAGAATTTAATGCATTTCCCCATGGCAAGTTGGGTTGTTGCGGGTGCGGGGAGGCACTTTTAATTGACCAGAAGGATTCGGGGTAAAACTGGGGACCCCACAGTCTCTCCCTTGCTACATCGTGAGAAGGTTTGTGGCCACACTGTCAATCGCATCTCTTATACACCCAGTGATAGGCAAGAGACTATCCATACAGACAACCTGAAACAAAAACCCACATGAGATGGCTATGGGCCACCAGGAAGGGATCTCTCATTGGAAATCCTGCAGCTTTTATTAGCCGCTATTGCAAACTGGGGTCCCACTTTGTTGCTGGGTCAAAATTCTTCCTTACTGCCTTGCTGTTGACCGTCCATGCTCCCCCTTGACTCGGACCCTACAATCACCCCTCCCATTGTCGCTCATTTATAGACTACATTTCTCAGCAATTGTGAGCCATAGCTGGGTGCATTATGTTAAATTCTGCCTAATGTGTTGTGAACCGCTCAGTGTCCTTGGATTTTATTCATGTTACAGGTCTCTAAGCTGTTATTGAGAGTGCAAACACCTGAAGGGAAAGGGAAATCATTAATGAAATAAATTAAAGATTACATCAGGACCAAGGAAATGGCTTATAAGGGTGCCAGAACATGGCTGGAGGAATTCAATATTAGTGATGTTACTCACTTTGGCACAAATGCAAAACAGAAAGGCAGAATATTACTTAAATAGTGAGAGTTTGGGAAGTGGGTACCCAAAAGCATCTGTAATTCCTTGTTTGTGAGTTACAACACATAGGTGTAGCAAGTAATTAGGAAGGCAAATGGTATGTGGGTCTTCATTATAAGGAGATTTGAGTACAGAAGTAAGAATGTCTTGTTGCACTTACGTAGAGCCCTAGTTAGACCTCACCCTGAGTTTTTGGTCCCCTTATCCAAGGAAGGGGTATACTTGTCATAGATGGTATTGACATTCTCTCTAAGCTGCACATCCGCTCCGAGGATGGGGTAAGAAGTGCTGAAACATTGACTTCCAGCTGCAGAAACTGCTGCCACATATAGTACCTTGGGGACCTGCACAACAGCAACAAAAATGATAGGGATCTTAGGAGGGAATGCATGGGTGAACCCATGCAATGGTTGGATGGTCTTATGAAGAGAGATTTAGGAAACTGGGTCTTGTATTCTTTTGAGTTTTAAAGAATGAGAGGTGACCTTGTTGAAAGTTACAAGTTCTTACAGGGTGTGAGCTGGTGGATGCTGATAACAAGCTTCACCTGGCCGGTGAGTAAAGATCCAGGACACCTAATCTCAACAGAAGGGATAGAAGGAATTTCTTCTCTTATGGGATGGTGAATCTTAGGAATACTCTACTTAGAGAGCTGTGGAAGATCAATCATTGAGCGTGTTCAAGATAGAAACTGGTGGGATTTTGGAGGCTAATGAGGGAAAATGGC